TTTAATACGCGTTTGATGAAGAATTGAATGGCACATCTTTTAGAGAAAACTCCAACCCTGTACGATGAAAATTGAGAGAGATATTAGCGAAATACTGAGACCTTCATTTATTCTGGGCCACCCGTTAAAACATAATCACAAGATTAGCGAAAATGAACTATCTATCTTGAAAAATGCAAATCAATATAAACGAGACCTATTTTTATCCAATGTAATGTCTGTTTCTTTTACAATCAAATCTTTGCGATAAAAAAAGCAATAACAAAAAAAAAAATTAAAATTGAAGTAAATTTCATAGTGACTTATTCATCAGGTTGTGGAACACATCGATAATAAACGGATCCTGTTGATGGAATTTTCTTTGGATCTTCATAACTGTAGGTCGTATCATTTGCCACAAATGCATGTTTCTCATCAAACTTTGACAACAGAAAATCATTTATGGTGCCTTTCGTTGGTACATATTCGTAAGATGAGTATCGGAGAAGAACATAGGATTTACCAACAATTAAATCACGTATGGTCACAACGCCATTCATCTCAATAGGACTTTGATTGTAAGCAGGATGCAGATTCGGTTCGTCCCAAGCTGAAACATACAGACGTACAGGTAATGTCACATGATCTTCGTCTATAATGCCTGTCACAGCAATTCCAAAGTCGATCTAGAAATTCCTCAAACAATGATTTTACAATAGTTTATTCTTTTTGAAGTAGAAATAATAAAAAAAAACAGAAATGTGATCGTACTGTTTTGAATGATAAATATTTCAAAAGAGTTTACTCACATCGAGTGGTATACATCCACCTTCACCACAATGTTTTCGACATGTTTTTCTTGTTGCTGCCAAATCGTTTTCGCTCATTTTTCGTTCAATTAGTCTCTGATGAAAGAGATTGAAATATATAAGTATATCATCCGGATCATATTTATTTTCGTCTCTAAACCGAACACCGATTGCCGGCATAATATGATCATAATAATCATCATGCATATAAAGAAGATAGGCAATAAACATTACCGGATATCCTTGTATGATAGATCGCTTTATCCAACAGCAATAGTCATAAAATTGAGGTTGAGACGAATTTTTCCAATCCCATTCGTCATAAGTAAAATGAAGAACAGTCAAAGTATGAGTTGGATTTCGACAATCATCCGTGGATAGTTTTTGTAGAAAATATTCCCCATTATTGATATCACGAACAAGTTTTTGAGAGATCCAAGCACCATAGTAAAGACCTAGTAATGTTTAATAATTATCATGATAAATAGAGTAAAATCAAAAACCAATGTTAAACGATTTGTATCTGTTTAAGGCCCCCTCCCCCTCAAAAAAAGTCAATTTTCGTCAAAAAAGTCGAAATGGAGATAAATGCATGGAAAGATAGTCCGTGATCTGCTCTTTCATAGTTGATAAAAAGTTTTCGTCGATACCTCCTTTTTGTCCAAAATTTTCGAAGATTTTCGTCAACCCCTATTCGAAAAACCAGCTGTTTTTTGAAAAATTAAAAAATGTTTTTCGTTTTTTCTCGGTTTATGACTTTTTGGTCTTTTGTCCAAGATTTCTCCGTCCAGGTGCAGGGCATCACAGAGTCCTTTTTTTAATTAAGCTTTATTTTTTATTATATATACAGACATTTATGTAACTAGACACCCATTTTTGGCGCTTTTTTTGAGTCATTGAACTTGTGATCCCCTTTTCCGCTAAAAAAGTAAGAATTTAAAAAAAACAACTCTGTGGTGCCCTGCATCCTGACATGCTCTTTCTAATAAAAAAAATTAAACATATAGCATGAGCCTGGACCGAGAAATCTTGGACAGAAAATGAGCTATTTTTGACCCTTGTTTGGTTCATATCTCTGTCAAACGTCATAGTATCCAGCTGAAAATTTTACCACAGCTTCCTCATTTCAGCCCCAACATATGCTCCAAATTTCAGCCCATTTGAACATATCTGGGCTGAGATCGATTTTTGAGGGGGAAGGGGGCCTTAAAGTAAAGTGAGTTCGAGTAAAAATGAGCATCATTTGATGACTATCTACTTAATTAATTACTTAGTGTTGTAGAGAGTAATCGTAAACATACCGAAAGCTTGTATTGCCGTTTCACCGCAGTAACCATGGTTATTTTCCCATTGTAATCGGATAGGAATATCGAGTAAAACTGTACGCTGAATGAATATTTCAGACTCTCTTTCTTCTTCAACTACATTCATCTCAAGTTGGTGTTGAAGCAAACTATTGAAGATTGTATCGGAAAATTGAATAAGCAAAGTCACGTATATCACTGAAAAAAAAAGAAAACGCTTTGGTATTGCACCACATGCCATTATCACTTCTCCACCTATGGTAATGCCTCTAGAGAGACATCTCTAAAATATTACACATCCTTATTTATTCTTCTCATTGCGAGTCGCTGCTGCGATTTCATAGAGTCCATCCGGCGTCTCATTTCTGTCGGAAATGATCTAAAAAATTGTCCAACCTCTGCTTATCGGTTTCGATTTACGTCTGTTTGACGTTTTTATATATGTTCGAATTTGCAGGTTCTTTTCAGTGGTGCTGCCCCACATTACAAATGTAGATATGAGAATTTAGTTACGTGGGCAAGTTTTCTTTAATTCTTGACCAATTAAATTCAACTTTGAAGTTTGACCTGCGTGACATATTTGAAGGTAAAAAAAAAGAAAATTTCATAAATAAAGTATGATTTTATTTGAGATTTAGCCATATTTTGAATTTCTCTCGAAAAAGGCCCGCTGTGTTTTTATCAACGTTTCTAGAAGAAATCATAAAGCGGATTCTATGCTCAACCTGAAAATTTTCCTCACAGATTGATTTAATACTCCTTAAAATATTCTGAAAGACTGAGCTGAAAATAATGTTCCAGTGAACTTCATATTTGTGAGATGTTGATCACATGTCACTATTTTTCGAGCGTTCAATATCTCAAGAAAGAAAAATTCTTTTCGGTTGAAACTTTTAGAATATTCTAAGGATCATTAAGTCTATTTATGCGTACAATTTCAAGTCAAAATCCTTAATCTGATTTTAGCGCAGACTTCGCCAGGGCTAACATGTGAAACTCACGTATCTTCTTTAACCTGACTAAAATAATACAAAATATTCTTTTCTTTACGGACAATCTATATTCTTCAGTACCATGTTTTGTTTCTCTTTATTTAACATTGATATTATTCTAACCGTTGATTTAACTTGCAAATAATGCCGTTTTGTAAATATGCATTATATCAACAGCAGTAGATTTTAAGTCATTAGTATATATCTCAATCAACTCACTAACACTGATATTGATTCTTTTCAAAGCTATAGCTTGATCAATTCATGAGTTTTACGTTGATCATATGACAATGGTGGTCAATCAATGTGCCACTACCAACCATTAGTGATATCTTGAATACAAATTTCCATCTGCGCGAAATTAAAAAACTCCACTGCTTGAAATATTCACAAACCTATTCCAGCTACTCAAATGTCAATGAAGGCTCTGGAACGTTTTGGAATATTCTAGAACAATCTTAGTGTTGTCGTTAATGCCGTTTCGAGTCTTTTGAAGTTGCTAAAGAACTCTGAAAAAAAAATTCGGTACTGATTGTCTTCGATTGTTAAAGTCTGCAGTGAAGCGAAGAACAGGGATGTGAATATAAGCCGCAAAACTTCGGCCTAATACCTACATTCACTATTTTCTTTGAAAATATATGTGAATTTCGCAATATATATTACAGCATTTACTCTTGTAATTCGATCTCTGTTTGTCTTTTGAGTCGATCGATGATCAGATCTACCATCGAATGGATTCAAAGTATATGAATCGATTATCAAAGATCTTATCATTGTTTCTTGTGATCATGCACGCTAGATATGCAGAACAATGACAGAGAAAACAATGAGCTTCCTACGCATATTTCAATCGAAGCCGTGCTATATCCCATGTAAAAATTTAAGCGAGAAAGCGCGCTTAAATTAGCTTATATTTTTGGCTGAACAGCGCACATTTTAAGCGCCTGGAAAGCACTTACAATTACATATTTAAGTGCTTATAAGCGCCGAATTTGAACGAACTAATATTCATTGTTGACCGATTTTATTACTATAATTTAGTGTCTTTATATAAAGAAACTCTAAAATAATATGATATTTAAAAGGATGCGACTAGTCGAAGATAATTATTCTACATAACAGCTTTATATCCATATCTTTCTGCACAAGTAATTTTAAAAAAAGACATTTTCGAATTTCGAATTGTAACTAAAGAATTATGGCTCGAAATTCAAAAAAAGTTTTTTTCGAGAATTACCTATCATGAAGAATGCAGATATAAAACTATTTTCTAGGATAATTGCTCGGAACTTGTCGAAATCTTTTGAATATCATATTATTTTAAAAGCTCTCATATATAGACACTAAATTATGATCATCGAATCGGTGAACAATGAATATTAATTCGTCAGTGGTACACGATCTATTTACGACTCAATGTTTAAACGGAAAGGAGCGCCTAACCGTTACACGCTTGTTCTCCTGTGTAAACGCAATTGATTCACTGAAAAGATGTCACATTACTGTTATAATATTCTTGATTATTAAGACTTGTTCTCAACATGTTCTATACAAATTAACATAATTTGGCGCTATACTAACATTGAAAATGAAAAACAAGGTATTCGTAGTACGTACCTGCTTAACATAAAACATGCAGCTTAGTACGAAAAAAAAAACTCTTACTAAAACTATAGTATATCGTTGCGTACTTAAAAATTCAATGTCACTATTGGGAAAACGAAATAAATTTTTTGTTAAAAAAGAGATAAACTTAAGAATTTCTTCAAATAAAAACAAAGGGAAGACTAATAAAAATAATAAAGTAGTTGACAACAATACAATCATTTGTATTGAGACATTTTGTTGTTAATTCAGAATATTCTCAATCATAAAAGGAAGAGATAAATACACTAGAATGAATATTTACAAGGTATTATTATATGAATGCCGTTGTGTCTTGTAATTGTGTTGTCTTGCAATGTATACTTTTAACTTTTTTCTTTTCGTTATCTATTTGTTTCTTTTATAACTAGTGATGCTATTAGATAACAGTAAAACGTTTCAAACTGATAAAAATAATATCAAGCATACTCTTTTGTTAAACATTTTCACTATATCAAAAAAAAGAAATACGAAGAACTCAACTTAGAAAAACGATATAAAACAATATAAGCGAATTAATAAAAAGACATAATATCTGCAACTTATGTAGTAAGAAGTTGGAGCCCTACAAAAAAGTATTACAAATGCGACTCACAAATGATTGTATATAACAAAGAATATCTACTACTCTCCACTGCTTTATAAGATGTTGATCAGGAGTTCAATAAGTACTGCTTGTTTTATAAATTATTTTAAAAAACTGAACAAGACTTAAGTTCTGTACTTACAGAATTTTTACACCGTTACTCTTACAGCTGTATGTCTATACTCTCCCTCGGACAAAAAAAAACGGCCTTTTTCCATTTCATTTTTGCATCACTTAATACGTTGTTTTAAAAAAACAAAATATACCAGGAGATGCAGCGTGAAAAGAACTACAATTTACAAAATAAATCTTATTTTAATTCTGTGCTTTTAGTTTTCAAAAAAAGCAAAATTGTGTGCGACCAATTTTCGACGCTGCGAAAAAATCATTTTTTCTGATCTCATCTTTTTATCACCTAATCTGCTTTTGTAAAAAAAAATAAAATGTACCACAAGATGCAGCGTGAAAAGCTCTATAATCTACAAAGTAAAGCTTATTTCAATTATGTACTTTTGTTT